TAATATTGCCCGAGTCTTCCCTCTTTAATGAGGGTCTCTATAGCATCTTTGAGATGGACATAGTCTTCAGTCAGGTGTCTATGACTTCGATGATATTGGCAGCATTTTCTCTGATCAGCCTCAGGCTTAGCAGGAGCAGGGCGAAGACGTCTGATGTTTCTGTCCTTGAAATCATTATTAGCACACTCCGCCAAGATGCGCTCGCAGAAAGCTGTCAGTGGAGTGTACTCAGTAAATTGCCCTGTGGGCCCTCTTTGCTCGCGAGGATCCCGCGGTTTATCATCCCTTCTCTTCTCGCCCGTTCGTCAAGGAGGGCTTGAATCTTGTTGACACATATTACTGGTTGATCCATGATTCATTGGGTCTTGGGCTCTATTGACTGCTTCCCTCTCCTCGTAGTTTAAATAGGCCCTAGCCTTTTCAAGGAAAGCATTGAATGTCTGCGGTGGTTCGATGCCAAAGGCTTTTCTAAACTTTGTGCCCGAGAGGATTCCCCTCTCGAGAAGGTATCTCTTCATATGGTTGGCGTAAGGGACCTGAATGGCCTTGAAGTTGAACCTATTAATAAACTCCTTGAGGGTCTCGTCACTTCTCTGGACGATGGCCTCGAGGGATGCATCAGTCTTTGGGTGTCGACGTGAGGCAGTGAATGAGCCGATGAACTGGTTTTTCAAGTTTTTCTAGGAGGTAATTGACCCCGGGGCAAGGCTCTTATACCAGTCCATCACAGTCTTCCTTAGAGTCGTGGGAAACAATCGGCATTTGATCGATCCCCCGATGTTATGATAGTGTAGCATTGCCTCGAACCTGTCGATGTGGTCGAATGGATCGGCAATGTCGTCGTAGTCCTTCAGATGGGGAGGTTTCTCCATACCCAGGGGAACGAGTACCTCCATAATAGCCTGGGATAGGGGACCACGGGGGTCATCTTCATCGCTTCTGTCTGGAGATCAAGAAGGCGACCTGTTGTAATGGCGGCCCTGGTCGCTGGGAGGATCCCTCGGCCGGTTTCGTTGTTCGTCATTCCCCCTGTTTATGTTTCCAAGGGGTCTTCTCTCTTGGCATGGGGGAATGTGATCACGCCTCCCCGTATCAACGGGCTGGTCCCTCTCCAACGCGGGGCGTCGCCCGGTTCATCGGGGAGAGGGGCTTCAAGAGGTATCTCGTCTGTGTCTCCGTGGAGGAAATTAGGGACGTTCCTCTATCTGACGGGGATGAGGAGAATCAAGCCTCCTATGTCTTCTGGGGGCTCACCGAGAATCTTCGTGCACCCTTAATCTCTCCCCTTGCGAAAAGATCAAGTAGTTTGTTTGATGTATTGCCGCGAATAGTGCCCTGGTCGTGGCATCAGCACCCGCAAGAACGGGGACCACCTGGAACGCGGGCGACTGATAGTTCTGAGGAGGACGACGATCATCCTCGAGTCGTCTGGACAGTGATGACGATGAGGCAGTCATTCCGTCTCTATATTCAGAGGGGCCTGGCATGTCAATGACGTGGCCGTTGTTGTTGTTATTGCTGGTATTGTTATTGTTACCGGTGTTGAGGCCAGCGGGACCAGCATTATTGATGCCGATGTTGTGGTCAGCGACGTTGTTGTTAACGTCGACAGTATGGATATTCAGGTTATTTTCTGCCATGAGATCAACCATGACAGTCAAAAAGGAGTTGGATTAGCTTTTGTCTTGGATGAATGAAAGACGAGGAAGTTGTTTTTCCCACAGACGGCGCCACTGATCGTACCTGACCAGAATGGACCGTCACACCTTACGTCGAGAAGAACTTGAAAGTGGGATAGGGGGGGTACCTGCAAGATACTCTGATGCCAAAGTGAGATTCAGAATGAGCAAGCAAGCAAGAGAGTAAGAGATGTTCAATACCTGGCCCTCTCGAAAGAGAGGGTATTTATAGCCCCCAGCGCTGGGTCAAGGTCTCCTTATTGGGCTGGTCAAATAGGCCCAAAGTGGAGACTTCCAGGTCATACGTGAGTAATGGGGACCCGCATGTAGTCCCCCACCTGGATGACTTCCTTCGTAAGATCAGGAGGATATGGATGTGGTCTTTCCGGGGCCACGAAGACTTCGCGATATTCAGAGACGTTAATAGTCAGCCCTACAAGGAGATGCTCGTGAGGTGCTTCCGCTCGTCGTAGATGCTCCCCGCCAGACGCGGGGTCGTGTGAGGGGATCAGTCTTGGTCACGGAGAGGATCGAAAGATGACCTCGAGGTCCTTTTGACTGACGATGGTCTTCCTAAGACTAACTGGATTTATCCCCGTGTGACGGGGTTGCCTCCTTGAGGGGAGTGAAAGTTGATGCCCGACGTAGTCAAGGGCAGAACTGACCAATATGCTTTGACCGACATAATTGGATCGGGTCTCACGTGGAGTTGGGTCAAGGGCAGACCCAATCTAAAACAATATGAATGAAATATGAAGAGTTTTGATTTTGAGCGTTTAATGATTTTTTTTTCATAGAAGAGGAACCTCAAAGTTGTGGTTTCTTTTTCCAATGCCTTATTTTCTTCATTTGAATAAATAAGTTGGAATAGTTTGAAGAAATTATTTATGTCAAATATAATTAATAGGTAATTAGTAATTAGGGGTGTGTGCTTATATTTAAAGTTATGAAATACATTTTTTAAATTGGTTTAATTAGGATAATTAAGTAATTATGTTATTAGGATATTTAAATAACATAATAAATATATTAATAATTTGGTTAAATTCAGTTTTGATCCCCTATTATGATTCATTCTCAAAATCAATTTCCATATTTTATTTTTAAACAATTTTGGTCAAAAATGCATTGACGTGTAATTTTTTTTATTATGTGGATTTTATTAAGTGACGTGGATAGTTCTATAGAGCTAATCACATTTTAGATGTCATTTATTTTATTTTATTATATTTATTAAATTAAACAAAAATATTTTAAAAACCTAATTAAAACAAATAAAATTAATTTCGACTTTCTAAACCCTAAAATGGAAATTGTTCATCGTTACTGTCTCAATCCCTTGATCTATTCTTTAAGCATTCATTCGACATTTTCTAAAATTGAATCTCAAACCTACCATGTGTATGATAAAACAGAGAATTAATTGTTCATCGTTACTGCGTCATCTCCTTCATCTATTTTTTCAACATTCATTAAACCTTTTTTCAACGAAATCAGTTCTAGAAAACACATTCATGGTGTTGTTTTTGTAGATCTCGAACCTATCATCATCAATGAAGTCAGATCTGGTGTTTACCGATAATTCTTCAACTATGAGAAACTCATCTCTGATAAGGAAGTTGTTGCTAACATTGTGGGCATGAAAATCATAGATATGTGCTAAGATAGTGTCAGGAAGTTGGCTTATAATTCTACCGGTCTCCAATGATTTTTGGTCAAGAAGGGAACTCAAGAAGAGAAGATAACACTTGGCTAGTGCAGTAGTTAAAGGTTGATTAGGTTACAAAAATAGTACTACTACTATCTATTTCATTCAATTTCTTCACGTACAATCATTTTTCTTCATCTTAATTTTGGTGGAAAAAGAAACTTATTCCATTATGTATTAAAAATAGCCACACAAAAAATGAAATCTCTAGGTCGCTCTCTATCAGAAACATCATGTCCAGAAATGGTTAATGATGATGGCATTCAAGAGGTTGAACAACAATGGTTTTCTATTCCTAAGATCAAAGTGGCGGAACCGCTAAGATCAAATTGTTGTACATCAGTTTCATTCCTTGTCCAAATTAAAGTTGACTTATTTATGTGAATGATAAAAAATTTTGTGGTATTTGAGAATAAATATAATATACTAATAAATTAAGTATTATAGTTTTTAAATTATTTTAATTGTGCGATATTCAACCATTTGAGAGGGAGAAACTAATATTTGTATGCGCCAGAATGATTTCCATTGTTCTCAAAACATTATGAAAAGAGTCTTTGAACCCGTCTCAGTTTTGGTAAGCTAAATGCGATGGACCCTGTGTTCAAGCAGCGCCGGTCCAATTAAACTGGAGATTCCGTTCAAATTTAAAAAATAGATTTAAATTTGAAGAAAAAAAATACAATTATAAATAATATATAAAAATATAATTATATATTAATAAAAAAGATTTAATTATTATTATTTTAACTTTTATCAATCTCATTTTTTAATATATTAAATTTTTATCATAGCAATTTTTTTATTTATTAGATTTTTTATAATATTTTTTATATTTATAAATATTAATATATAAAGAAAATAGGACATTTTAAAATGTAAGGCCTCTTAAATTTGGGACATATGTTGTAGAGTATGTTGCTCCTACACTCGAACCGGACTTATGTCTATTGTGTCCCTAAGTTTGAGATGTCGGTCTAGAATTGGTATATTTAACAAATCTTCAACTGATAAGGAAAAATTCAAACTAATAAATAAATAAATTGGAAAAAAAATAAAACACTTTCTAAAAAACTTCTAAAAATTTAATCAAAATCTATCAAATTGATTAAGAGTCCAGCTAAATAAATTCAATTTCATTTTCGACTTTGTTAAAATTTGAATTTAAATTTGAGTAAAATTAGAATTGATATTTAAACTTTAGAATTAGATCATAATCATCCTTGTCTATAATCATCCATAAAAGAAAAATTAAAAAGGAATGATTTTGTTTATATGAAAAGGTCCCTACCTTAATAAATGGTTATGCTCAATGTAGTGTTCAATGTTCATGTATAAGTTATAATTCCTCAAAGATTCAAACGTGATAGAAAAGGCATAACAGAGCAAAAGAATGTGATTTTTCTTATAAACCAGGACATAACATACACTTTAACACAAAAAGCTTATTCTTTCCTTCTTCCATGAACCATACTAAACCTACATTATATCCTTCATATATTTTTCATTTTCTTCTCTATGCAACTTCACTACAAAACCACAACCACAACCATAACACATTTCTCAAACTCCATAATTCTTCATCTCCCAACACCCCTCACATAAACAACAAAATGTACGGAAACGACCACATACCCGTTCACCACGTCACGGGCTCGGGCCCAAACCCACGCCCGAAGCCCATAAAGCGCCATCATTCGACCAAATACTATCTCCAACGTGTCCAAGACAGTCTCACTACCCGTGTCTCCAAAATGGTCTGCACCATCTTCTTAAGCCTCCTCGCAATCATCGGGCTCATCACCTTCATCGTCTGGCTCAGCCTACGTCCACACCGGCCCAGATTCTTTCTCCGTGACTTCACCGTTGCGGGCCTTCAGGCCCAATCCGGAGTTCAAACAGCCCAGTTAGCCTTCAAAGTAGACGCGCGAAACTCCAACCTAAACATTGGAGTTTACTACGAGTCAATGGCCGGGACGGTTTATTACCGAAACAACGTTATCGGGTCAACACCGATACCGTTTCCATCTTATCAGGGGCCAAAAAACACTACAAAAGTTATTGCAGTTTTTGCCGGTCCAACCTTAACTGTTAGCAGTCAAGGTTGGACTGAAATCCAGAACGATAGGGCTGATGGTAGTGTGATGTTTAGTTTGGAATTGACGTCTGTGATTAAATTTAAGATATCCTCGTGGGAAAGCCAGCGCCACAAGATGCATGCTAACTGTGATGTGGGAATCGCAGCCAATGGTTCTCTCTTGCATATTTACAAAGACAAGAGATGCATCGTTTCCTTTGCTTGAGGATTTTCAATGGGAATATAATTTCACTAATTTGTTTTCTATTTGATTAACTTTTTTTTTTTCTGTCTACAATTTTTTTCCAACTATTTTTATTATTTTATTTATTTTCAAATGATTCATTGTTGTTCAGGTTTGTAATTATGTTGTTTGTCCCTTTTATATATTGGAGTTTACTAGTTTGTAATAATTTTATTGCATGGCACCAATGTATCATTTGTTATTTATTATTATGACTATCTTAACTGCCTAACCACTCCTTTTAAAGTATGAACAACCGTGTTTGTCTTTTTCTCAACAAATTCAATTTTATAGAGATTTCACTAAACAAACACAACAACGATTTTTGCACTTTGAAATATAAGCCAAAATCATGAGAATGTATGGAAGAAAATGAAACCAAAAAAAATGTGAAAAATGAGATGATATTGTCAACATCAAACTTAAAATTATTTTTGGACTAACTAGGATATCTTTGATTGAGGTCTAAAGAGTTTGGCAAATAGACTCGTCAACCTTAAAATAACATGACGAGTATAGTAAATGACGAGAGCACATGTCGAGCATGTGATCTAATATGACTCACTTGCTCTTGTGGAAAGACGTAGTAAATCACACGTTAAGCAAATAGAATAAGAGTCCTTCAAGAAATAACCAAGAAATAATTAAAATATTCATTGAAATGACTTCATTTTCAACATAATAGGATGACGCATCAGATTCACTCCCCTAATGAGTCAAACTCGAGAAACGTATATTTGATTCTTTATGCATAAGAGCTGGTCTCTCCACTAGATCTTTCCTTAGAGTTTCCATCTATAAATACTCACTAGGCAGTTGAATAGAGTCATACATTTTTATGCAATCACAAACAGAGTAGCATTTATTATACTCATATCAAGTACAATTGACGCTTATCGTGGGCCCGATAAAACTAACTCGGACTGCACTCCCATTTGAAAACATATCGCGACCAAACCACCGTTCTACAATGTTGAACTGAGACATGCCCCTAGCAACAACAGCAGTGACCAAAAAGCAATAGAGGAGATGTCGACCGCTATGGAAGAGTTATGTCGCCACAACGTAACCTTGCAAGATAGTGTTTTTCATTTTCAACAAAAGCGACGACAATTGTCAACCAATTAGATGGTACAAAGATCCTAGACCCCTAAATTTTGTCCAACTAAACCTTAGACGTGCATGTACCATAGAATTTCAAGTCTTCGTCGTTGTTGACCTTCGATAGGATATGTCATCCCATTAATTGAGCATATTATCTCCATCAACACTCATATGGCGATAATTGTGTTAGACAAGTGACTCCAAACACAAGAGGGAGGTGAATTGTGTTGCGTTGAAAAATGATGTCAGATTAAAAAAACTTTGATAAAAGTAATTGTTTAAAATAATTTTGAAAACAGTAAGCAACGAAATAAATAAAAGAAATAAAATTTGAGAGAAAAAGATATTTGAGCACATTAAAAATAAAAAGTAATGGAAATAAAGAGATATAAGGGATACGAAGAATACATCTGAGGTTTATAAAGGTTCGAACTAACCACTTGACCTAATCCTCTCCACAAGAATTACTTCTTGAGATTTCCACTATAAGAGTGAGTTTCTCACATGTTATGCCCATGAACCTTCTTACAAGCACACTTGGAGTTTTACGCTACCCTCCAAACCAAAGACGAGATTTCCTACAATGCTAATCCAGAATCAAATGAGAGCTTTTATACTAGGCATAGCTCACGAACCAAACACGACACGTTGACGGACAATCCCACAAACCAATGAGAGCCTTTTCAACAGGCGAAGCTAACAAACTAAACGTGAGATTTTGACAGACAACATCACAAACCAAATAAGAACTTTTTAACTTGTTTTAGCTTAGAACCAAACAACAAAATCTAATAAAAGATATTACAAAAATTCCCCTACACCACAACCATACACCTCATACGTAAATTTCACTCTCAAAACACTAAGACAAAAGTGAAGATGAAATAAATAGCTCTTTATTTGTTCTTTACTCTTTATTTCGAGAGAAACGAGAGTGGAAAGTGAGAAAGAGTTTTCAAAATAAGTTTTCTGGTGTATATGAAATGACAAACTGAGCTTTCTATTTATAGGACAGAGGGTGGCACACAAATGGAAATAATTCATTGATTTTTTGAATGATCATAATCGATTATGCATATCACATAATTGACTATATAGTTTAAATATAGAAAGTTTAAAATGGCATATTTAGTAATTGGTTATAGGCCCTGATACTCAATTATGAGTGTTACAAAAGAGATAATTGATAAACCCTAATATGATTATCGATTATCTAATGTAAACTACACTCATGAAGGAGTATTCAAGCTGGTAATCAACTAGCTACTTGCGCAAAACATTTCTTGGGGATTTTATAAAAGCAGAAAGGCTTTTTATCATTTGAAAGTATGCGTGTGTGATTTTTCTTAGTAACTTAAGAGAGAATATTATACCTTTAGAGACACAAATCACTTCACCAGGATAAGGCGAACTTTCACACTTCCTCTCTTTCACAATTCTGAAGATCTAAGATCCCTTGTTTGATACAACAATGATTTAATATTTCATTTGATACTTGAATTATACTATTTGATGACGCTTGATAAGGCTTTTCGATTGATGCCATCATTATAAAGATTGCTTGACAAAGATCATCAGGGATTCCATCCAACGCCGCTTGACATTAGGTGTTGTCCTTCAGAGATAGGCTTTAACATCTTGATATTCAAACACAACAACTTGATCATCACTTAAGATGAAGATTTCACTTCATAGTGTTGTTATCATCAAAATCAAATAAGTTAACAAATTGATGCAATTATTATACCTGCAAGCACATACCTCCACATCTCCCTCTTCCCTTTTGATGATGACAACACATCTTTCGAAGAGGTAGACAAAAAAAAAACAATAGCAAAGAATTTGAGTGGTTAAACTCCCTCTAACAAATATAGAGAGTATACCCTACTCCTCTTGAGAATATATTTATCCTCCTCTGACATTATCAAAAAGGCGGAAAAAATGATAAACAAATATAAAAGACATTCAAGCACATAACTTACAATATAAGAAGAAAAATGCACAAGTATTTTGTAACGAGAATACTTTTTTAATTAAAAAATCAATTCAAATGCAATAAGTGGGAAAATAGAAAATTAAACACTCTTAAAAACACAAAAGATTGAGATATATACTAGTTGTCACTATAATCATCATTTTTTACTTTGATTTTTCCCAATGTATTCTTCCGGATGATAGAAAATTCCTTAGACTTTGAAGAGCTAAAGATTTTTTATAGGAAATTGCAAGCATGGCGTTTATCACTCCTCTATTGGCAGAAATTGGTCGAGCTTCAACTTCTTCTTCTTCTTATACTACTGGATCATTATTTAATTCATCTCGAAAGACACGAACCTTTATTGGGCTCAAAGATGCTGTGTCGATCTGACAGTGGATTGCACCTACACAATCACCCTCATAGTGAATTTCATTATTAGCCACAATTTTGGTTAGGCTTCCATATGGCAACTCAGTTGAGTGGTTCCTTCTACAATACAACATGTGGTTAAAAATTCCAACGACCCAATTGGTTGGGTGATTTTGTGTTAGCATCCACACAACAACAACAACAACATCTTCCTTTATGAAGAATATGCAATTAACTTGCTTGGGAAGAGTATGCAAGTGAGCAGATGATGTATCACACGACATTTAGCTTTCATGAACTTTGCCTTGATAAGAGGTGTCTTGTCTCTCATTTGATCGACAAGGAAGTTTGAAATAACAACAATGTAACTAAATTTCTTTGATGCAGAAGGTGCATCATAGATGAAGGATTTGCCAAAGTAGGGTAATTCAAACATGTCTCCAAAATCATCCTTGTGAATACAAACCTCAACACCTTTTACCAATGTTGTGGATGCTAAGTTTTCAAACTTGAGATTTGCGTAATACAACTTAACAAGCCTTAAAAGGATGTGATCTGGCACTTTGAATACTTATAATAAAGTTTATAAAAAAATAAAAACTTATAATAAAAGAGAAACTTATAATAAAACCGGAGTAAGTTATCAACCTGAAATTAAATCGTTTAAAAAATTTGTCATCCTAATAGACCCTATAATCATAACATGCCTGGCTGTTTTTATTGTGGTAAATTTGGACACACTTTTTTTTGTTATATAAGAAAAGATCATGAAACAAAAGTCACAAGAAATGAATTCCTAAAGGAAACATCCCTTACACTAATACTAGAGGACCAAAAATGATTTAGTTGTCAAAGATCAAAAGACTTAAGTTGTGATACAAGTATACTTTACCATTAACTTCAAAATGATATTTTGATAGTGGATGTTTAAAGCACATGACATGAGATGAAAAAATAATCCTCATCGTTTACTTTCAAAAGGGGAAATTATGTCGCCTATGGTGACAACAAAGGTAAATTTTTTTGTTTTAATATTATTGGTAAGAGTCTGAATCCTATCATTTGATATGTATTAGTTAATTGTGTGATTAAGGTAATGTTGTAGTGTCTTATTCTTATATATATATACAGATTCATAAAATATGAAGAAAAAAAAACTCAAGATAAAACAGTAAAACTATGAATTTTTTTTTGGAATAACCAGGTATTAAAAAAAAATCGCAAATAACCATGTTTCGGAGAAAATTACGCAAATAACCATGTTTCAGAAAACCCCACAAGGGAGGAGCCAACCCAGTTGGCGCATCCACTCCCCATTTTGTCCTTGGCGCCTCCTCTCTCTTTTAGCCAAGTGAGATGGCGCATGCACTTTAAAAGTGAGAGGAGGCGCCATCTCACTTGGCTCCTAGGGCAAAATGTTATTTTTATAAATAATTCGTCCGTTTCTCCGTCATTACTCACACTTTCTCGCATTGTTCTCTTATTTTTAACTCTGTTATTTGCGTCATGACATCGCCCATGATTTTTACCA